TTTTAGTCTTAGAGTGAAAAAATGTAGAAAAAACGAATATTAAAGGGTTTGGGAAAAAATCCGTGTTTGATTAACTACTAAAAGCTTTTTTGGGTTTTTTCCCTTGTCATGAGAGACAGGGGAGGGGAGGAGGAGATACAGGAAGTGATGACTGAAACGTAAACCCGGCGACGATCGGATCAGATTAGGCAGTTACAAATCTCCTTACAAAATATTTGTGACAATTCACATAGGCTTGGCAATATTTTTCTTTAAAAAATTTGCTTTTTGGGGGCTCGTGCTCACTGGGGTTTGATTGGATTGTTTTTGGAAAATGGGTTTTATGCCCGTATTCTGTAATTAAGATAATGGGTGCCTAAAAGAAGGGGGGTTTTAGGGGAAGTGTAGAATAAAGGGGTAAGGTTGTTTTTGGGATTGTTTTAAATTGATAATTCATTTGCTTTTTGAGGGTTTTGGTAAGATAGCCACAAATTTGATAAATTAGTGAATAGGATAAGGAATAAAAATTGGTTTTAATTATTCATGTTTTTTAATTTGATTTTTTTAAAAAAAAAAAAAAAAAAAAAAAAAGTTTTTTGGGGGGGTTTTTTTTGGGTTATTTTAATATTAGGGGGGGGGAAAGCCTAGGCTATAAGTCAAAAAAAATAATTCACAAAAAGGAAAAAAAAGAAGTTTACAATGGGGGAAAGGACAGAAAGGCTAAAAAAAGTCATTAACCGTTTGTAAGTAAAAGGTAACCTTTAATAAAGTTTTGCGGGTTACCCGGGCAAGTGAAAAAAAAGTTGCCCTTCACCCTCAAACAAAAATTGATAAAAATTTCAGCGTAAAAACCAAGTTAAGATAAGGCTGGATGAGTTGGGGATGTTATCCTCAGGTGTTGTGCATCAGAGATGGAGATAACGAAAAATGAAAAGGGGGACAAGCGAAAAAACGATAAAGTTAACCCCAAAACTCCAGAAGAAGGAAACGAGATTGGGGAAGAGAAGGTGAGGTTAAAAGAGGATAGGAGTGAGATGAGTGATTGAGAAAAGGTCTGGGTGGATAGACTCTGTGATCAGAAGGAAGTTGGCAAGAGAGGAAAGAAAGGATATAGAGATTTTGATCTCATAAGTTAAAGGAAAAAGGTCACGAGTTTGAATCTGATGAAAGAAAAGTAAAGAAAGGGATGAGATCGGAGTTTAAAGGTGCTTTATGTTAAAGAGGATTTTATCCTACAATGATGAAAAGAAAAAATAGAGATATAGACGATGTTTTCAGCCGGATAAAGAAAAAGTTAAAAATACCACAGCAAGATAAAAAAGGGGGAAACTGCGGGAAAAAGGATCCCAAGAATTGGGGAAAAGAATAATAATTGGGGAAAAGATGCTAAAAGAAGATGTGGAAAGATGATTTTTTGAGGAAAAAACTTAGAATATAAGTGTTGAAGAATACTGATATTTAACAGCAGAAAAAACGGGAGAAGAAATTTGAAAAAATCAATCAAAAATTTGGTGGAGAAGAAAAGCTTTGGTTATGAAAATCAGGTGAACCAAATAACAACACGTTACAGCTTTCAAGAACAATTCAAAAGATTGTCCCAGAAAAAAGGGGGGCCCAAAATTTTCCAGATCCACCCTTTTCGGGACAGACACAGAATTGGAGGGGAAGAGGACGAAAAAAATAGAAGGAGGGGGAAGTTTTCAGCTACACTTCCAGAAAACTTAGAAGTTTGTACTAAAGGTACTTTACCTGTGAGTGCAACAATCAGGAGGAAAAACGAGAACATTTTTAAGAAAAACGGGGGCAATTCAAGACCCCTGTTCTCCAGGGTGAACCCAAAAATTTCTACGGGCCCAAAAATCGGAAGGGGGGGGGCCACGAAACCGATTAGAGAAAAGACAAAAAATCCAACAATTGAAAAAGTAAAAAAAACCCGGGACCTGAGAAAGTGAGGGTAAATAGGGAAAAAAAACATCTGTTTTTCACCCTAAAAGGTTAAACATCCCCTATGAAAAATTTGACAAATTAGGATAGGGATTTGGGGTATTAAAAAACAGCTAATTACTTTAGGGAACCATGGGCTCTGCTATAAAATCAAGGAGAAATTTAAAATAGACATACTAATTTGAAGATAGTTTTGTTTTTGGGGGAAGGATGTATTGTTTAAATTGAATTGTACAATAGATGCACTAAACGGTGTCGGTAGAGGATTTTAAAAAAAGTGGGTTTTGGCAATCGATTTGTTTAAAAAAGATATATTATGGGAAGGATGATAATCTATTACAAAATCTGTCTAAAAAATTTTTAAAAGGGGGGAGATGTTTTTGGGGTTTACATTTTTACCAAGAATTTCGGGCTAGGAAAAGGTGTTTAGTTTGAAATGTGTGAAAAGAAGCAAAGGCAGGGGGGACTTTCCCAATCACATATTCTAAAAATTTGGGGGTAATAGGTTTTTTGTAAAAAAAATCAGGGGAAAAAAGTTTTTTTAAAGGTTTATGTAGAAAAGATTAAAAAAAAAAGTTGGGGAAAAAAACTAGGGTTAAGGGAAAACTCTAAACAGAAAGCAAAGTTTCAAAGTTGTGTAAGAGGAGAAAAATGGTAAGACACGGGAAGGGGAAGTAAAAGATAATTGTAGGTGATTTTTTTAATCAAAATTTTGAAATCAGGGTTAGAATGGACTGGGGTTGGAAAAGGACATAGTGGTGATAGAGGAAGTAAAAGAAAGACAACTTTTTTTTGGGGAAAAAAAGAAGTAAAAACATAACACTTCGTCTTTAAAACCCAGTGAGAAGCTTTAAAACTTTTCAACTTGTAGTTTTTTAAACCCATAAATATATCGCTTTGATTTAAGGGGAAAAACCAAATTTTTGGGGGAAAAAAACTTTTTGGGGTTGGGAGGGGGACATTCCCCCACAGGAGAGATAATAGGGGGAAAGAAGTATTTTTATCAGACCAAAGTAAAAGCTGTGGCACCTAATAAAGGGGTATTTTTGAAGGGGGGTAGGAGTGACTTTTTTACTTATGTTGCGTTTTTTAAGAAAAAGGGTAGGGAGAAATTGTTATTTTTCTATGAAAGCTTTTAGAATTTTTTCCCGGGTTTAAAGAATTAGGGTTTTTAAAAAGGCTTTTAATCATAAAGTAACGTTATGAGGGAAAGATTTAAAAACTGTGAAGTTTCCCGTCACCAAGGGAGTCAGGGAAGAATGGGTTTACAGTAGCCCCTCCAACAGTAGAAAATCCCAAAAGGGGATATGGGTGTAAGGTGTTGATACACAGCTAAAAAACACTTTAATGGAATTTTGGAAAGGGGGTTTATGTTAGGTGGAGAGTGTTTAAAGATAGTACGAATGGGGGGTTAAAAAATAGGAGGCAGAAAAGGGTAGAGAGCAAAGTTTCACTGAAATATTTAAGGGTTACTATCATGGAGGCAGGATAAAAGGGGTCTTTGATTTTAAAGACAGACAAAGGGGAAAGGTATTGTCATACCCCTCGTTTGGGGGAGATAAAAAATATATGCATTGGTTTGATTTTCTGTTTGAAAGTGGAGATAGGTGGCAGGAGGAAACTTT